TATATATATATAGGCATGGTAGGAGCCATATGCAAGATGTGACCCAAAGAAAGGATCAGGTGGTTGAAGTTTATGTAGTATCATGAAGTTCACCAAGGATTAGGGACTGGGGTGCCTTTAGGTGGGGATTGGAGGTGGCTACATAAGTCATGATAGAATGATGGACTCATTTTTATCTTGTGAAGACCAAGTTTCCCAGGAGGCAGCCTGTGTGTGTGTGTGTGTGTGTGTGTGTGTGTGTGTGTGTGTGTGTATTGATGTGTTTTCCAAATATGTTTTAACAATGAATGGAAAACAAGGAAAAATGGGTATTAAGCATTATCCTAGACATTTTCAGGCCCATTACCTATCATATTTTCACAAGTATGTCGTAAACTAAGTAATATTAGCTCCATCTTGTAACTGAGAGTGCCAAGGCTGAAAGCCTCATACATTATGCATATGAAATCATTCTTTCTAGCTGATGATTAAACCACTTCAGATCCAGTCTGTAACTCCAGAGGCAAGATTTCTTTGTAATTGTGTCTGATTTGATAAAGGAATAGTGGTAGACTCAAGTGGTGGATTTAAGCACAAAAACTCAGGTAATGAGTAGGATTTATATAATTTATTACAAATTATAAAGACAGGTTTTCCTGTCTTTTTCCCTCTTTCCTAGTTTTCCAGACTTTCTTGTTGCATTAATTACGAATTTATCTTAATTCATTTTTGGCATTTTTTTCACTGAATATAATTAAAAATAAAAAGTTGAGATCAATCAGTGTACTGTCATTTTTATTCCATATACAATTAGCGTATGAGTTGTCTTTGTCTTTTGCTTTGTTCCTTAGATGAGTTCCTGAAGTTTTATGTAAATGAAATTGAGTTAGATCTAATCTGTGTCTCAAAGATATTACTACTTTAAGGAATCTATGTAGTTTGGTTGAAGGAGCAAAAATGAAGAAACCTGTTTGTCCTACATTTGGAAGTTGATGTAATTTGAAGTGTTACTAGGGTGTGCTTCTCAATGTACTTGAAGTTTAAAAGCCCTTGAGAATTGTAACGGAAATGTTCGTGGATTTTTATTAGGTGTTAGACAAACCCACTAGGTTAACCGAAAAGGAACTGGCTGAGGCTGCAAGCAAGTGGGCTGCGGAAAAGTTAGAGAAGTCGGATGAGAGTAACTTGCCTGAAATTTCTGAGTTTGAGGTATGCTCACATGTGAAAATTTTGTCTGGATTTTAAATTATGAGTGGAAAATACTTGGTTTGTTACAGTACTTCAGAATATGCTTGGAGGAAATTATCCTCATGGATTGGTAAATGTACTATACAGGGTTGTAATAATCATCACACTGTGCCTGAGTGGCTGCAATGCTTTAGGAGTATAGAACTAAAATGCATTATTTATGTGTTACTGATAGTCCTCTGCTTTCCAAGTATCTCATGTTTAGCCATCAGTCAAACCACTGAATTCAGAAAGTTAAACAATTTGACTTAACATGTGGACTGTATTTATATTACACATTATGCATTATTTAATATCTCAAGAACGAAATTAAGCATTGTTTGAGCTACCTGAGATCTATGATGGATCTTGATTATCAAAGAAATGAGAACATTGGGGTCCACCGAACATTATGAAATGTTCATATTAAAATACATTTAGCTGGGAAAGTAGCTTAGTGATAGAGTGTTTGCCTACCATGCATGAAGCCCTGGGTTCAGTTCCTCAGTACCACATAAACAGAAACAGCCGGAAGTGGCACTGTGGCTCAAGTGGTTGCTAGCTTTGAGCAAAAGAAGCTCAGGGATAGTACCCAGGACCTAGTTCAAGCCCCAGGACTGCAAAATAAATAAATTAAATAAAATATGTTTAAATGAAGTAAAAAAACATCTGTGTAACATTAATGTCTCTAAAAAGAAAATAGAGACATTTTATGGAGAAAATTAAGTTTTAGGACATACATTTTCTTCAATTATCAATTGATTTTCTTTCCTTTTATAAGATAGTATTAGTGTATAGTATGTTGTAACCAAACTATACTGCTAATGTTTTTAACCTTATTACATCTCATTTGTCATGTCTTATTATCCTGGATAAAGACATCTGTAACAGTCTACTGGCACTTTCACCCATTTCAAAGAATAAGTTGGGTTTTTCAAATGGTAACACATATTCTCATTAAACTTAAACCCTCGTATGGTAAGACTCCAAGGCAGTTATCAAATAATGAATGGTAGAGTTCAAAAGAAACGTTAGCATCAAATCAATTTAGTTATGCCCACATAGTAACTTATTGTTACAAAGTCCTTGATGAATAATGCCTTGATAACTTCTTGACAGAAAAGTTTGTATCCACATCCATTTCTGAATGGAACCTATTTTTTCCATGATTGGCTAGCATGAGAAACCCTGAGTGAAAAATAGATTTTTTTTTAACCTAATATCCCCAAGATACCCACAGAAACTTTTTTTTTACTGTAGCTTTCTATATAGAGAGAAGTTTGATATTGGAAAGATGAATTTTGAGATGATATAAAGGAACATAAAAATCTGTATAGTAATTTATATTCAAAGTAGAATTCTGGCTATGGGATAACTTAGGAATGGTGTGGGGTGAGGCTTGAACTCAAGGTCTAAGCAAATATATAATATGTTGTTATATATATTATTCAAAAGATTTTTGTATATTATTCAATAGATCACTTCCAAAATAGCTAATGTATATTGTGTATACATGGTATCAAACTTACATGAATAGAACATTTAAAAAATGCTGACTGGTCATTTAGATAGCAATTATTCTTAAATAGGTCAAGGTTTCCCTGTCATTGTAACTTTGAGATTTCTTACATATTCTTGAGTAAATGTGTCAAAAAAAATTATAGTGTGTCAATTTTTTAGAACACTTTTCTAGTACTATTTAAAAGCATGAACATTATAGTAATGGGTGTAATAGTTAATTTGAATAATTTTGGTTTAATTATTTGGAGTAGTTGTTTTAATATTAATAGTAGGTAGTACACCTCACTATTTGGGAGTAAGACTGATTTCTAACTTGAGTATTTATTTTTATTCTTTCATTTTATATATTATGAATACATATTGGCAAGACTTCATTTTTACAAGTTCTAATGGTATATTCATCCCATCTCACCACTATTTTTATGTCTTAATTTAACATATTTTTATGACAGCTTTCAGATGTCAAATTCTTCTTGTGTTCTTTCATTACTTAGTGGAATCTTAAAACTGAATAATCAGTAACATTGGGGCAAAAGATGGGAGGAGTGGGGGCATTCTTTGAAGTCCCTCTTTACAAAGGCTTTTCACCACTTAATCACCTCCTAAAGGCCTCTTCCTAATGAAGTTACAATGACATTAAATTTCAACATGAATTTTGAAGGGACAGCTGTCTAGACAACAGCATCCTAAAATTAAGATGAAACCTACTGAGTGTGTTGTGAATTTCAATGTTTTGGTTATAGTTTTGCATTGACATAAGTAAAGCTGAATTGAGAAACAGTATTATTTTTTCCTTAGAGATAATAAGAACAAAGATAGTATAAATAGCCTAATTTCCTTAGCCACCATCCAGGATTGTCTATTGCTAGAATTAGTTAGGCCCTTCTAACTGTGTATCCCCCTGTCCATGTCTTACAGTCATGTTTCACTCATAGTCTGATCTAATGTCACTTTTTTCTTTTCTTTTTCTTTTGTTTTGGTTATAAAATTTCTTCCCAAGCAGCCTGAGTAAGAGGAGTTAGAAAAGTTGGGAGCTTGCTTAAGATAATAAAATGGATATAATGACATAGTGTTAGAAATGTGATATATATAATGGCATTTATTTCCTAAATGATTATGATTTCGATTCCTTAATATGTATAACATGGACTTGTTAAACATAGTTTGTTTCTTAAAGTAGATAACACATGTATGTGTCAGAATCCAAATAGCATCAAGTTATTTACAGAGTGTCCTTTGCTTCCTATTCATTACTTCCATGTCATTTCTGTAGAGAAAATTTTGGTTACTAGTTTAATAGTTGGTATTCTTGAGATTCCCTGTACATATGGACCTAAATATACACTCCCGTCTGTCCTTTATCACACAATTGTTAGTATATTGATATATTGATAGGGCATGACTTTCAGACTATAAGGTTATTTGTATTTATTTGCTGGCTAATTGTTGTTCTAAAATGGAAGTAATCCTTACTGCTCTGTGGAGTTTTCTTTTTAATGATTTAAATTAGTTCCTAGATATAGGTGCAAGTGTTTTGTCTTTTGAACATAATCTTCTCAGTTTGTTCCCCTCCTCCCTTTCTTTTTCTCTCATTATATTTATGTGTGCATGTAAGTCTCACTTTTTTCTTTCCTCAGTGCTTCATAAATAGATTGCTTATGGAAAAGTTATGGAACAAAACCTTCTGTAGAATGAAGTATAATTTTGGAATGGAATAAGCCTGAAGGCATTTTCTTAAAATAAGTCATTTCCCATTTAATCAACCATGCAAACATTTTCCATTTAATCCTTTTCATATATGTTCATTATGCATAATGAAATTGAATATTTCTTTTCTTAAAAAATGGTAAGAACTGCAAGGTACTGGTAGCCCATGCCTGTAATCCTAGCTATTCAGGAGGCTGAAATCTGAGGATAAGGACCAAAGCCAGGCTGGGCAGGAAAGTTTTGTGAGACTCATTATCTCCAATAAACCATTCAGAAAAAGCTGAAGTGGTACTGTGGCTCAAATGGTAGAGTACTAGCCTTGAGAACAAAGAAGCTCAGGGATAGTGCTCAGGCCACGTGTTCAAGCCCCAAAACTTGCAAAAAAAAAAGAAAAGAAAAAAATGGTGAGTCCTAATGCTTTTAATATAAGCTTTCTACCACGTAGTGCCTGCTCACAAGCTCTCTGAAGTGCTGTAAGATGTCTTATCTGAAAGTGATTAAAAACTTATTAATGTTTTTCAAGACGGTACCTGCGGCACCATTATTCATTGACCAGCCGGAAGAACCTGAGTCGAATACAACGGATGGGATAGAATTATTTGAAGACAGTCAGCTAGACAGTCGCTCTAAAGCAATAGCATCAAAAACCAAAGAGATTGAACAGGTAAGAATGTATTCTTCTTAAGGTACATTTTTGATTCATGACACTATTGACATGTAAATATTTACTGAAAAAAAGACATTTGCCTTTTTCCATTGTGACTATGAAATTCCATTAAAAACATCTTTTTCAAAGTGGATTTCACAGTCATTTTGATTAGTGTTGTCCCATCTTTGTTTATTTGGTGGTACTTGGGTTAGTCAGCAGCCCTGTGACCTACTTGAGCCATAGTTTCAGCTTTTCTTGAGTCACTGCAAATCAGGGACTGTTCTAATTTGACTAGAAAAATGCCTGGTCCCTATTCTTGCTAGGTAGTAAGTGTTCTATACATGTTTGTTAGATTCCTTGTAGGGTTTTTTTTTTTTTTTTTGCTATGGGTCCTAGGGCTAGAACTCAGGGCTTTAGTGCTCTGAGCTTTTTTGCTCAAGGCTAGCACTCGTATCACTTGAGCCACAGCTCAACTTCCAGCTTCCTTTTAGTTTGTTAGAGATGAAATTTCACAGATTTTTTTTTTCCTTCTTGGGCTGGCTTTTAACCACCACCCTCAGATATCAATCTCTTGAGTGGCTTGTATTATAGGTATGAGCCACCAGTGCTGAGTTAAATAGTAGTTGTTTGAAGACAAGGTTCTGTTAGAATCTAGTAGATAGCCCTGATAAATAACAGAAGAGCAATAATCTGGATTGCTGTTTATTAGTATTTTCACTATCACTGTTACTCATCTTGGATCTCTTTAATCTTGAGAAAGTAGGTTAGCAGTCAGGTATGCAATCTAACTTATCAGTACACATACAAAATTATTTAGCACAAAATTAATTTTTATAATACTCCCTAGAAACCTATATGTTTGATTTACCAGAGTGAGACTATCTGTCTACATCTGTCAGTTGAAGCATGTGAGATATCTGATGTTATGGTACATTGACATTATTACAAGCAAGGGCTTATAACCTAGAAAGAAAAACAAATCTTAAAGGGACTTCTGATGCTACTGGAGAAGTAAAAACAGTTATTAGAAATTCTATAAAACAACTGGGCCCTGTGGTACATACTTGTAATCCCAGCTACTTGGAAAGTTGAGGTAGGAGGATTTCAAGTTCCAGGTCAGTGTGACCCTAATAGCAAGTTATAAAACAAAACAAAAAAGTGCTATATAATAGGAGACTTATGGGACTCTTTTTCCTATAGCACTTGGTTTTCATATGTTAATAAGAAGTTAAGCAAGGCCAAGCACCTGTGGCTCCTGCCAGTGTAATCCTAGCTACTTAGGAGGCTGAGATCTGAGGATCGTGTTTTTTTTTTTTTAATGTAAAATAATGGGTTTTATGATAACATTTTTATTCTTTTTTTAATTTAATT